AGCAACATAAAAGTTGTGGGGAAAAGAGAATTCAAAACAGTCTAAAAACATTATTTTTGTTTTATGTCTCTGTTTTTCGCATCTTCATCCTTTAAATCTTTTTAACTTGGCACTATATCTTTTATTGAAGCAACTGTAGATTTCACATACAATTGTCAGGAATAATACAGAAAGATCTCTCGTATACTTTGCCCAGTCTCCTCCAATAACATTTTGCACAACTATAGTTATAACATCACAACCCAGGACAATGACATATTGACACTGAGACGAACCACCAACCTGACTCAGATTCATTCAGATTTGTTTGTGTGCACATGCGTGCTTATTAAGTTCTACATGATTTTATCACTCATGTAGGTTCATGTATCCACCACCAGTCAAGATACCAGACAGTTTTAGCACCCTAGGATCCTTTGTGTTGCACTTTTATAAGCACATCCACTTCCCACCACCCCATCCCTAACCCCTGGCAGCCACTAATCTATCCTCCACTTATCCTTTAAATTGTCACGCTACCTCCTACTAGAGAGTGACCATGGGTACACCCAGCCCTCCGTTGCTTCCTTTTATTGCTTGCTCTTCACTTTCACATCATAGAAGGTGGAGGCAATCTTAGGGAACAGCTGGTCACGGAAGGAATGGGTTTTCACCTTCCTGACACAGAAGCAAAACACCACGAAGTTTTGATGTTTAGGTGATACAGCTCTAATATGTGTCTATCCACTAATACACATATTCCTGGGTATTTAAAAAGAAGGAAAAAGAGAACACATATAGCAGAAAATTTATAATGCTTCCCATAGACATAAGTACTGTTTCCTTCAAAATAAAAAATATTTGTTTCTCAGACAACCAAATTTAGAGTAGCATGGTCAGGATTTTCCAGTTATATAAAAGCCTTTTCTCCATCCCAGGGACTACAGTCATTCCATATCAGTACATGGAAACCCTGACTACCACTTAAACATCTTGATTTTCCCTTGCAAACCCCTAGAAACACTGTCCTTCATTTGAATTTAAAATCTAAAAAACAAAGAAGTGGGGCGCAGTAGGTCACACCTGTAAGCCTAGCACTCTGAGAGGCCAAAGCAGGTGGATTGCTTGAGCCCAGGAGTTCTAGACCAGCCTGAGCAAAAGCAAAGCCTCATCTCTATTAAAAATAGAAAAGCTAACCTACCATGGTGGTGGGAGCCTGTAGTCCTAGCTACTTGGGAGGCTGAGGCAAGGGGATCACTTGAGCCTAAGAATTTGAGGTTGCTGTGAGCTATAAGGCCACAGCACTCTGCACAGTGCAACAGAGACTACCCCAAGTAAATAAATAAACAAGCAAAGGATAAATTGGTAGTTATAAAAACACAATGTAAAAAGTAACATAAGTTGAAGGTTGCCTATGCAACCTTCAAAGCGCGAGGTGTGCATGCAGTTGGCATCATACCTGCTGAGCTGAGGAGGACACTGAAATCTGTTCCCCTCTGTGATCCTCCACTTTCGTTATTGTCCTCTTTTTCAATATCTTGATATCGATCCCAGTTAGAGACGATCTTTCTTTTAGAATAATTTCCTTGCTCATCATTCTCTTCTCCATAGGTCTCTGCATCACTGTCATCTTCAACCTGCAATCATTAGTGACAAATCAATACGCAGACAGTGGAAATCTTAACCTTAGTAATCTTTATGATAAAATAACACAGCAAAAAATAGTGCACAGGTATCACAATAAAGAGCAAATTTATAGACTAAGCTATCTGAGGATATCAAATAATGTTTCCAGAGAACCCCATTACCTATCAGGGTAAATTTTTTAGTGACATTGAAAAGGAAATCTGACAAGTTGCTGCCTAAACATTTGTGAGACAGATATCTCTAAAATCTATCCCTGAGTATCCTATTTCAATAGTTGTTTCATCTACTTGAAATGATCAAGGTTGGAAATCAACTCTCCCTTCCAATTTATAGATTTTACAAACACACTCCATAAGCTTCCCATGGGAACCCTGCTCAGGTGCAGTGTAGAGAACAGTCTCCAGTCTTGGGCATTAAGAGGTCTAGGAGAGGCTCAGCGCCTGTGGCTCAAGTGGCTAAGGTGCCAGCCACGTACACCTAAGGTGGCAGGTTCGAATCCAGCCCGGACCTGCCAAACAACAATAATGGCTGCAACCAAAAAATAGCCAGGCGTTGTGGCAGGCGCCTGTGGTCCCAGCTACTTGGGAGGTGGAGGCAGGAGACTCGCTTGAGCCCAGGAGTT